TTATTTGAAAGGCAGATAAACACACTGAGATCTTCCATCTTTTGATTCACTCCCCATATGCCACAAAGACCAGGGCTAGACCAGGCCAAAGCCAGAAGCCAGGAATTCAATCTAGATGACCCACTTGGCTGACAGGGACCAAAGTGCTTGTGCCATCTCTGCTGCCTCCCAGGTGTGCAAAAGCAAGAAGCTAGAATCAGAAAAAGAGTTGTTTCTGATTCAGAGTGTCTGTCAAACCCAAACACTCTGCTATGGGCTGCAGATGTTCCAAGTGATGTCCTAACCACTAGGCCAAATGCTTGTCCCTCTTTTAATTTTTTATTTATTTGAAAGAGTGAGTGAGAGATCTTCCATCTGCAGTTTAATCCCCAAACACATGCAACCGCTCGGGCTAGGGCTGGACCAGACTGAGGTTAGATGGCTGGAATTCAATCCAAGTCTCCCAGTAGGTGGCAGGAGCCAATTACTTGAGTCTTCACCATTCCTATCAGGGTGTGCAGTAGCAGGAAGTTGAATTGGAAGTGGAGCCAGGACGTGAACCCTGGTCTGACATGGGATGTGACCATCCAAGCTGCATCCTAACCACTGGACTAAACCCCTCCCCAACTTTTGACTTTTCTGTAAAGTAAAGCCATAGTCACTTTGTGTTATTAAAAATCTGAAGAAATATTCATAGAAAGGTATTTTTCTCTTGACTCCTTTTAGACAAGATATAATTTGGCTGTACAGTCTGTTGGTATTTCAGTGCAAACAGTGTTGGTCTCATTTTTCTGTCCTAAGATGCTCTTTTCTTTATATAAACAGCACGAGAAGCAGTTGTTCTCTCCTCTCTCAGGGGCAGGTGGAGTGATTCATTTTCCTGTACATCTTAGAGGAGCTTTTATGATTTGTGGGGGATAGAGTGTGGGGAGGAGAGCTCCAGCAATGTGTCAGGTATTACACATCTTGGGTTAGCATAAAAAGAAGCAACTTCTCCCACTGCAATTTCAAAGCCTGGAAGTAACATCCCATTTATAAGGCTCTGAAAAACCACATTATTCATAATAGGGACCATGATTCACATGAACGGAACAAAATGAAATGATCAAAAATAGATTCTGTAGATCAATCTGTAGCAAAAAAAAAAAATCCTTCTGATTTAGCTGTGAATTGGCTAGCTGCACAAGAAAGACCATCGTTTTAAAGTTCTACTACCTTCTTCTCTACTTTGACTGAATAATCTTTATTCTTTCCCATGATACATCTTTATGGGTCAAGGTATTTGGAACTCAGGTTTTAACATGAGGTCCCACACGTTTATTCTTGTCCTTTTAAAAAGAGACGTACTCAAACATACCTTGTGTTAATTGTGCTCATGTAATTGGTTACCTTGAATTATTGAGCACTTGTCATTTTTATGCTTTGTATATTGACCCACTATTATTTATAGTAGCAGTGATTATAATAACCTGCAGAGTGGGTTAGAAGGGCTTTGCATTTGAAGGTATTTGAATTTCTGCCAGAACTCTTATTTGTTCAAATATGAGCGATATGATTTCAGTCCTTTTACCTGGACAGTTTTTCTCCTTCTATTGATTTCCTGCTTCTCCAAGAGTAATAAATCCTTTTTAGGGAGTAGTAAATAGAAAAAAGGCAGTTTCAATTTGATACTTCTACTATATTACACACACACACATACACACACACACACAATCGAGTGCCTAATGTTCAAGGAACTGTGGTGTTTTTAGGGATCTAAAGAGGGACCGTCAGCTGCTTTCAGTTGTAACAATAGTGAAGAAACACAAAGACATTTATATTATCAGAACATTTTTAGATATAAAGCCATCTATTGGTTTTCTAAAAAGAAATGCAGAGAAAGGCCAATGCCAGGGTTGGTGTGAGGTCTCAATGATGCCTTTCAGCTTTCTGCTTAGCCACTGTCCACGTGTTTTTGTTTTTTTCTTTTCATGTTCCGAGAGCTGGATTAACTCAGAATATTATGTCCTTGCACAACCGCATCCCATGGCAGCAAAATGGCAGTTTTCCCTCATCTGTCCCTTTTCATCAAAGAAGAAAATTCATCTCAGAAGCCTCCAGAACATTTCTTTCATATGTCACTGGCTCAGATAGAATCAGGTGCCTATACCTTTGCTGAAGGTGAGCTGGGAAAGTATCTGCCATTTCAAGTGAATATCATGGAGATGTGTGTGTGTGTATTCTTACGGTTGGACGGGCAGCCAATACTGTCTATCACCAAAAATGATATGAAATCTCAGCCTTCCCTCAATGTATTTCTTTCAGGGCAGAAGACAACCTATAATTGTATTACAATTTCTGTGTGGTAGATTCCTGGACACACTCATGGGCTTCAAATTAAAGATCTCCTTTAAACTGATCAAAGAGAACTGCTCTAGTTACTTTGAATTTGGAGCTGCCAAGCCCGTGGTCTCTCATTATTCTTAATTTTTAGTTGCCAGATCTGCTCTGTGCATGTTTTCCTGAAGTAACGTTTAGAGATGAAGCATCAATTTACATGATGTGTTTCTCAGTGATATTTCTCCAAAATGCTCTTGCTTTTCTTTCTATGCATGTCCAAATCCCATTCATCCTTTGAAGACAGTGAAAAATACTTCCTCCCATTTATTCATCAAATATCCATGGCATGCTAACTAGGTAGCAAGCATTCTTCAAGAGGTGGAGAAGACAGACATGAGCTCTGCTCGCATGGAGCTTATGGTTAGGTAGGGAAGGTTGACAATTAACAATAACAATTAAGAGATGGAGCAGAACAGGGTACAGTGGGAGGACAGGCAAGGGTACTTAAAACATCGTTGAGGGGATGGGAGCAGACAGACATGGAAGCCTTCTTGAAGACTTCTGCAGCCGACTAAAAGTTAGTGTTCACCCAGATTCATACATGGAAATCCTAATGCCTCATGTGATGGTATGAGGAAGTGGGGCTTTAGATCATAAGGGTGGCACCCTCATGAGTGAGATTAGCGCCCCTGTAAAAGGGCCCCAAGGGCTCTCTCTTACTGTTTTTCATGTGAGGGCACAGTGAGAAGCTGGCTGCTCAGGAAAGCAGGCCCCAGAAGATTCAACGCTTTGATCTTGGACTTTCTAGTCTCCAGAACTGAGAAATGTTGTTCAAGCCACCCAGAGCCACCCAGCCTATGGTATCCTGTTACGGCAGGTGAAATGGACAAAGACAGCTTCTTGAAGTGATAAGTATAACTGAGGAGATGGACAGGAAAATGTTCAAGATAGAGTGCGTGCAGGAAATTAAGGAGGTGAAATGTTGATAAAAGGGCCTTCAAAAACGGTCTAATTCCTCCTTCTTCCAGATAATTTTCCATTTACTGAGCCCCATATTACTTGACATGCAAATTTTAGACCACACACTTTTTAAAATTAAAGGGGCAGAGAGACAGACAGACAGACACACACACACACACAAACACACACACACAGAGTTTCCATCCACTTGTTCATTCCCTAAATACCCACAAGGGCTAGGGGCCAGGGCCAGGAGTCAGGAACTCAAATCTAGGTCTCCCATATAGGTGGCAGGAACCCAATTACTTGAGCCATCACCATTGCCTCCAAGAATTTGCATTAGCAGGAAGCTCGAGTCAGGAGCCAGAGCTGGGATTGAAACCAGGTAGTTTGTCCAATATGGGACACCGTCATCTAAACTGGCATCTTAATGGCTAGACCAAATGCCCATCCAAACCATAAAATTTCAAACATTTGACTTACATAGAGTACTTGATAAGTATCAGTGATTAGCACCCAACCTATGAGGTAAGAGATGGATTTTGGCACACCTCTCTTCAAAATAACAGGGAATAACACTAGCTGACTGGGTGACCACAGAGACCAAAGCATCAGGGTAGAGTTGATTCACAGAGTTCTGGAGAAATACAAAGTCATTACAGTTCCAATCTCAGATGCTACTTGAAAAGCTACTTCAGAAAACATAAAGAAAAACCTGGTATTCATCAGAAAGAAAAAAAATAGCCATTCGCTTTTGTTTGCAAGCGTTTTTTAAAAAATAGCTTCTTTAGGGAAGACATTTGGCCTAGCAGTTAAGATGCCACTCTGGGAAACCTCATCCCATATGGTAGTGTCTGGGTTTGACTCCAGGCTCCACTCCTGATTTCAGATTCCTCCTAATGCTCACCCTGGGAGATGGTGGTGATAGCTCAAGTAGTTGGCTTCCTGCTGTCCATGTGGCAGACCTGGGTGGAGTTTCTGGTTCCTGGCTTTAGCCTGGCCCAGCACCAGCTGGTGTGGGCATTTGGATGAAGATCTCTGTCTTTGTCTCCATCTCTGTCACTCTGCCTTTCAAATAAATAAAAATGTTTAAAATCTTTCATTTAGTTGTTTTGTTAGTGTCATGTTAGTTAGCATGTCATGTTAGTTTCACACATTTTTTTTTAAACAAAAATATATGCGATATACTGGTGTTGCAGGCAGTAGCTTAATCCGCTACACCTCAGTGTGGGCCCCTAGTTTTCCAGACTATACTAAGTAATTCTTAGATTCTTTTTGGTTGTGCCGTTAACCTTCTTTTTACAACTTTCTTCATTTGAAAGACAAGAGTGACCTAAGGAGGGAGAGGCAGAAATCTTCCATTGGCTTGTTCACTCTCCAAATGTGTGCAATAGCTGAGACTGGGAAGGCCAAAGCCCAGGAACCAAGAATCCCATCTGGTTCTCCCACATGGGTGGCAGGAACCCAAGCCCTTTGGCCATCATCTCCTGCCTCCCAGGCACATTAGCAGGAAGGCGGATGGGAAGGACAGCCAGGACACTATTCCAGGCAATCTAGTAGAGGCTGTGGGCGTCCTAAGCAGCGGGCCAGAACACCCACCCCAACTTTGCTTTTCTGGACAATGAAGTAGGCTGAAAATGGGATGAAAACTATGGGTCCTCTCCACAGAAAAACGCACCTGCTTCATAGGGTTAGTTTAAGGAACCTTCTTCACTCGTGGCAGAATCCCCGCTTCAAGCAGCAAGGGTAATTTTTTTTTTTTTTTTTTTTTTTTTAGGATTTATTTATTTGAAAGGTAGAGTTACAGAGAGACAGGCGGATAGAGAGAGAGAGGGAAAGGTCTACCATCCACTGGTTCACTCCCCAAATGGCCGCAATGGCAGGAGCTGGGTCCATCCAAAGCCAGGACTTAGGCCATCTTCTACTGCTTTCCCAGGCCATAGCAGAGAGCTGGATTGGAAGTGGAGCATCCGGGTCTCGAACCAGCGCCCATATGGGATGCTGGCGCCGCAGGTGGCCCCCTTAACCGCTCAGGCTTTCTAATTTGTAGCCTTCCAGAAAGAAATTTCTTATGTGGACTTCAGTTGCATTATCTGTGAAAAGGGGCTGAGTGTAACTGATCTGTAAACCCTTTTCTGGCAAGGTGGGCATCATCTAGACTCTAGAGTTAGCAATGCCGAAGGAGCAAGCAAACCAGTTTAGGCGAGGGAACTGGATGGGTTTACCAATAAAGGGGTCGCAGAGGTTCAGGTGGCAAATGAACCTGGGCGCCACCTCACAACCTGTGGATTTTGCAAGTCATTTCCTCCCTCCGGGTTTGTTCCCTCCTGTGCAGAATAAGGAGGCCCTGATTCTGGCAGCTAAAACACCCTTGGAGCAACCGAGTCTAAGACGCCGTGAGAAGAATTAAGATGAAGATGACGGTGGGGGTGGGCACACGCGAGAAGGGCGGCCCCGAGGGCTGTGAGGCAATACTGAAAGCTCGGGCAAGAGGCACCTATTTCACACCTCGAGGGTATCCGGTCCCAACCGCACACCGCCGGGGTCATTCCGCCTCCGTCCCGGCCCCGCCTCCGCCGGCTCCATCTTCCTTTCCCTCCTCTTCTCCACCTCCCGCCCCCAGGCTGCGCCCTGCCACACTCGGCATGGCCGCCGCAGCGCTCCGCTTTCCACGCCTCCACGGCCGCGCGCGCTCTCGCGCCTCCACCTCGCTCTGCTCCCTGCCTGCCCTCGGCCTCTTCCCATTGGCCCACCCCGTAAGTGACGTAAGTGTTCCATTTTTCCTCTCTGCCCCCCAACCACATACCGCCCCTTTCTCCGCCCCGCCCCCTCCTCGGTTCTCCCTGCCTTAGACTCCGCGGCGCGGGAGGAGCGAGGACAGCTGGCTGGACCAGGAAGGCGCTGGCGGAGGCGCGCACGCGCACGCGCACGCACGCACGCACGCACGCCGGCTGCCGGAGGGGCGGCAGGCTCGCGCCCGGGCTCGCCCTGCGCCGCGCCAGAGGCTCGCGCACTCAGCAGGTTGGGCTGCGGCGGCGGCGGCAGCGGAGGAGCTGGGTGTGAGAGGTCCCGGACGCGTCTGCGGCTACCGCTGCGCCACCTTCCGCCTCTCCCACCCCAGTCTCCGTGCTGGGCGCTGAGGAAGGGAGCGGTGCTAGCCTCAGGAGCCCTGAGCACAGCCCTGGGTGTTTCGACACCGCCCTCCCTCGCCTCCCAGCCGCGGGCCTCGCTCGGTGTTAGGCGACTCTGCGGGGAGGCGGCGGCTGCTGCTGCTCGTCTGTGGCGAGTCCCGCCGTCCTCCAGCCTCGCTGCTCCGCCGGGGCCCTGCAGGGGCCGAGAGAGCTCGGCACTCGCCTTTCCGCTCGCCCTTATCGGCAGCCGGTTGGAGCAGCGTCGGTCCGGGCGGTCTCTGGGCTGAGGCGGCAGCAGCTCCTCCGGCTCCATCATGTCCGCGGGCGGAGACTTCGGGAATCCGCTGAGGAAATTCAAGCTGGTGTTCCTGGGGGAGCAGAGCGGTGAGTGCGCGGCTCCCCCACTCCTGGCAGCCGGCCGCGGCTTCCCCGCACCGCCCCCGGTGCGGCCCTCCCGTCCGCGGAGGCTCCCTGCCGACCTCGCGTCCGCGCTCCGCTCCACCCCGGCCCCTCCTGGCCCTGCTCGCTGGGTCGGGTTTTTCATTTTTCCGCCGGCCCCGAGTCCCGAGCCTGCCTGCTGCCGGGGTCCCCGCAGCCCGGCCCGTCCTCACCCCGCCCAGCCCCAGCCGCCTTGTCCATCCCTTTCTTCCTCCGGGCCCCAGCGTCCTCTCGACCCCCCTGCTTTCCTGAGCCCCACCCTTGTCCCCTGCTCCGTCCTCAGCTCGCGGGCGAGGTGAGGCCCACCCCGGGAAGCCCCCGCTCCTGGGGACCGGCCCTTCTTCAACCTTGGGCACGGCGGGTGGGAGCTGGGCGTTGTTTTCCCCAGAGGCTTGGCCCTTGGAAGTGCTGAGCTCCTGGGAGGGGAGGAGTGGTGGGCGTAGGAGAAAAAAAAAATCGCGGCAGGTTTTCACCTGGGTGGGGAATTGGTCTGGCTGTAGAGGAAATATTTCAAAATTGGGGGCGATTTGAGAATGGGGTGGTCGGGGGTGAGCGCGGTGTCGTCGGCAGTGGCGATTTTTTTTTTTTGCCCCATGGATTGGGCTGTGGCTTGTCGGCAAAACCTTATTTTTTCTCTTGACTTTCATCGCCGACAATTCTTTGGGCATTGTTGATGCTTTTTCGATCTCTGCCAGATGCTATGTCATGATCGTTTTACTTGGAATTTTTCAACATCTCACCTCCCCTTTTTTCATCAAGAAGCAGTGTCCGATTCTCCTCATGGTGGTGCACACAGGAATTACTGGGAAATGTTAATTATTCATTTCTTCTTGAGTGTTTTCCAGTTTAAATATATATATATATGATTTATGTGAGAGAAGGCTTAGGATGAACATCTTTTGTAAGATTTCCTTTGGGTAATGGAGTAGAGTAGGAATAGATTCATCATCTAGTTACCTAAATTAGATTTAAATGCCATTTGGGCTAATTTTTTTTTAATGCTTAATGTTTTATGGTATCTGATGAGTGAAATTGTTATGTCATTTACCTGGTCAGGATTGTTGATGTATTTTGTATTAGATACAACATCTTAATTTTGTAATGGCTGTCTCTAAGAGTACTTCTTATGGTAATGATAGTTTTATGCTATATTATACAAACTTGACAGTAATTGAGAGAGTCACCGTCCTTTGTTTCTCTCAAATTTTTCATGACCATCTTTAATTTCAGAAATGGAGAGACTAGTACCAAGTCATCAAGTTTTGGAAATCTAGTTATCTTAGGTGAGGTTATAGAAGCCATTAGTTATTTGCTTTGACTGGAAGGCATATCAATGATATAAATTCATAGCTGTTACTATTACCTTGAACTATTTATACTAATTTGTATGACAATATAGTAGGTTAATGCTTGTTGCAAAATTGCCTCCATTTGGACCTAGAAAATAACTTGTCTCCTTTCATACATGGATTATCTTCCCTTAACCAGAGGAAGGAAACGATCTCCCTCTCTTTGCATGTGGATTTTCCTGAAGTATGAACATGTTCCTTTAGGTGAGCAAATTGTTAGAACCCATGGAACTGGTTCAGCCATTATTATATGGCAGTTTCAAGAAAGTGCCATGCATAAAATACAGTTTATTGGTCATTATTGATAAATAGACCCTAATGGGCTTATTGTGCACTTTAGGGATGTTATTGCCTGCCTTATGTTGTGTTGCAGAGCCATTTAGTTTGCATGAGAAAGGCATTAATCTTTGTGTCTGGGAATACTTCAGCATAAATAGAGATCTTTAGTCTGCAGGATTCTTTTGAATTTCTTAGGTGTTTATGTTCTAAATTACAGAGTTTTGTTTACTTCCGTTAGCTGTTTTATTAATTCTCTACTCCTATAATTCTTGAAGCCTTGTGAGATTACAAAAAGAAAATGGGCTTCATTTTTTAGAACAGTTTCAGATTTGCAGAAGCATTGAGATGATAGTGTGGAGGGTGTCCATATATTCCTGCACCTGGTTTCCCCTGTTACTGACATCTTACATTAGTACGATATGTTTATTAACAGTGAGCCAGTATTGAGACGTTATTAGCTAAAGTCCGTAATTTAGATTGCCTTAGTTTTTAACTCATGTTCTTTTTCTGTTTCAACACTCAGTTCAGGATACCACATTACGGTTAGTTGTCCATAGGCTCCACTTAGACGGTTTTCAGGATTGTGTTTACATGCTTTTTTCTCTGAATTGTGAGGTTAATTATCTTTTGAAGGCTACTGTACTGCTAAGTAATATTACCCAATAGCTTTGACAATGAAAGATTGATCTCACTTTCTGTGGTCAGTGTCTAGTTTTCTTATGCATTAGCAGAGGTCTGTAGAATCTGTCATCTTGATGTAATTCTTCATGAATTATTTATTTTTGGATCTGTTAGAATTCCACAATTTAGCTCTCAAAGCCTGTACTCTATGGCAAAGCCTTGTTTGTTTCTTTAGTAGCATTTACCTCATTTATAATTATATTATTTTTTGTTGTTGTTGTTTTTGTCTATTTCCCACAGCAAGATGCAAATCCCGTTATTGTTTTTGTTCATTGTGTTCCCCATTGAGTGCTCAGAAATATTTGATAAAATAGTGGTTGAATCTAGTAGTAACCAAAGGTTGTAGCCTGTGCTATTTTTCTGCTATGGTGAAGTTAATTTTTTGTTTTTTTTTAAATTTATTTATTTTGAAAGAGTTGAGGGTAGGGTAGAGAGCAAGACAGAGGGGGAAGTTTTCCATCTGGTTCACTTCCCAGATGACTGCAATGCCCAGTACTGGACCAGGCCGAAGCCAGGAGCTTCATGCATGCCTCCCTCAAGTGGCTGGGGCCCAAATACTTGGGTCATCTTTTCCTGCTTTTCCTAGGGAAAAAGCAGGGAGCTGGATAAGAAATGGAGTAGCCAGGATGAGAACGGACACCCATATGGGATGCCGGCATCGCAGGCAATGGCTTTACCCACTAGGCCACAATGCTGGCCCCTGGTATAAACTTTCTGTGGTTTCTCTATAATTCAATAGTATATGTGAAATGTTGAAATACACGGTTCCTGAAGTTTCCTTCAGGAATATCTTTTTTTAAATATCAAGATTTTTGTTTGTAGACTTTATTTGAAAGAATGTCAGATATTTCCATTCACTGGTTCTCAGCTGAATCTGGGCCAGGCTGAAGTCAGGAGCCTCCGTCCAAGTTTCCCACTTGGGTCACAGGAACCCATATTCTTGGCCCGTCATCTGCTGCCTCCCAGGTGCGTTAGCAGGAAGTTGGATAAGAAGCAGAGGACTCATGCCTCCAAACAGGCGTCTTAATCTGCTGTGCTACAATGCCTACTCTCAGGAATTTCTTTTTCTACCTCTGATCATTGTCTTGAAATGCAGTGGCATTTTTAGGAATGTCATTCAGTGTTTTACAGAAGAATATTTTAATATATATACAAATGCTACTGATTTTAATTTAGGAAATGTAATGGCAGGAAGAAGCACATCTTAATCTAGTATTCCTTTTTTCTGCTTTACATTGCACTTTTTCTTCTTTTTAATTCTACCCTTTTGAATGTTGTATTCTGGGTAGGGGGAAAGTTTTCCAGGTAGAGACTAACAGTACTAAACGATGTATATTGGCTAGATCAGTGCTTCTTACACTTTTTCTTCTCAAGACTCCTTTATGAGCTTACAAATTATTGAAGACCCTAAAGAGTTCTGTTTGTGTACTGAAAGTTAACTGAGAAAGTTAAAAAATATTTAGCACATTTTAAGCTAAAAGTAGTAAATCAATTCTGTGTCCAACATGGTCTTTTTTTAATCAAATTTTTAAGGCTTTATTTTTATTTATTTGAAAGAAGGGGTTTCAGAGAGATGTAGACCTAGAGAGAGAGAAAGGTCTTCCTGGTTTATTCCCCAAATGACCACAACAGCAAAAGCTGAGCTGATCTGAAGCCAGGAGCTTTTTCCAGGTCTCCCACGTGGGTGCAGGGACCCAAGGACTTGAGTCATCATCTACTTTCCCAGGCTGTAGTAGGGAGCTGGAACAGAAGAGGAGCAGCTGGGACTCAAACCCATGCCCATATGGAATGCCGGCACTGTAGGCTGGGGCTTTAACCCACTGTGCCACAGCGCCAGCCCCCCAACATGATCATTTTTTATGAAGAAATATTTTCCGAACAAAAATTTAGTGAGAGTGGCATTGTCTTATATATTTGTATACTTTTTTTTTTTTTTTTTTGACAGAGTGGACAGAGAGAGACAGAGAGAAAGGTCTTCTTTGCTGTTGGTTCACCCTCCAATGGCCGCCGCGGCCGGCGCACCGCGCTGATCCGATGGCAGAAGCCAGGTACTTCTCCTGGTCTCCCATGGGGTGCAGGGCCCAAGCACTTGGGCCATCCTCCACTGCACTCCCTGGCCACAGCAGGGAGATGGCCTGGAAGAGGGGCAACCAGGACAGAATCCGGCGCCCCGACCGGGACTAGAACCTGGTGTGCCGGCGCCGCAAGGTGGAGGATTAGCCTAGTGAGCTGCGGCGCCGGCCTGTTTTTATCTTTATATAGAGATGTAGAGACAGAGATCTTCCATCCCACTGGTTCACTCCCCAAGTGGTGGAAATGACTGGGGCTGTGCCAAGCTGAAGCCAGGAGCCAGGAGCTGCTTCTGGGTCTCCCATATGAGTCAGGGGCCCAAGAACTTGGGCCATCCTTTGCTGCTTTCCCAGATGCTTTAGCAGGGAGCTGAATCAGTGGAGCAGCTGGGACTTGAACCATTGCCCATGTGGGATGTGGGCGCTGCAGACCAAGGCTTTAATTCGCTGAGCCACAGTGCCAGTCCCAACTTTTATCTTTTTTTTTTTTTTGAAGATTTATTTATTTATTTGAAAGGCAGAGTTACAGAAAGGCAGAGGCAGAGAGAGAGAGAGAGAGATCTTTTAT